GTTACAGCAAACTGCCTGTACGTGGAAAAGGCAAAATGGGAAAAGCCGAGAGCATGCTGGCGCTAAGCGGCTCGACAGGTGCTGCCAACTCGAGAGAGATACTAGGCAGCGCTTCAAGGCACACTAGAGAGAATGTAGGAAAAAGGAACTTCGCGAGTGTATCACGAAAGAGTAAAACAGATGCGACAAAGGGAATCGGGGTAGAGGCCGACGGAAACTGGAAGCTCGAAAACCCCTAGCTTGTGCACCTGTCGGCTCATTGGACCCACCTGGGTTAATCGAACGATGCCCTTCCAAACACTTCTCTGGAATGTGCGCAAGGAACTCCGTGCTCTCGGAATTCGCTGCACACATTCGGGTAAAGTATGCGATAAGGAATCTTTGAAGACAATTGCGCTTGAACTTGTGAGTAGAAACATTTTATAACTCCGCAATGTTCTACTTACTCCCTGGAGGCAGCTGCAAGAAGATCACTCGGCCGAACAAGTGAGACGACCGCGAAAGGCCTCCGATGACCCTTCGCAGTAGTAAGCTATGCCCTCGGGGGTGGGGAGCGGGAGACCAGCACGGGCAAGTGACAACCCTCATAGCAGCTCACCCCCGCCTTATTGGGCGAACCGACAACAACCAAAAGCAACCCGCTAGGAGACCTGGTCCGCCACGTCCTCATATCTGCCAACAGGTCGAAAATTTCACTGATGGACCATAACTCCATATAACTTCCGGAACTCCACGAAATCCGACACACAGGAAGATGCTCCTTCCACTCCTCATCTGACATAGCCAAGTGAGGGTAGGAATGGCTACTGTGGATCATGGAACTGTTGGAAACAACAATCTGTTCTCTGCTGGCCAGGTTGAAGACTAGGTCTTGCCGTTCAGCCTGAACTCTGGGCGGTGGAACCATTGAAAAAGCGGAATGCCGGCTTACAAACCCGCCTATAAATGCTGCCGAGACACTCTCTTGTCCCTAGTGTCCGATCACCTTCTGGCCCCTTGACCCTCCTCTATCTGCAAATCCGCCTCCTCAATCCTACTCACTCGGCTCACAAATAACTCCCTCTGAAGCCTAAAGCTCGAGAAGTTATAATGGATAGCACCCCTTCTCTTCTCCTCAGTCCCCTCTCCTCCCCCACTAACAGAATCAAGCCGAAGGTAAATAGATAGAACCCTCCACCCTCGCCAAGCATACACCTCTTCCCTGCTCCTTCCCTCATCTGCGGCTTTATCCCCCTCCTCTTTCCCCTCCCCCTCTAAAGTATAAACACAGCAAGCACGCCTTACTGAAGACCCACTCTCCTCAACTCTTCCTATATTATAGTAACTTCTCTCTCACGGTGTGTTTGAAACTGCAAAGACGAAGCAACAACGAGAATGTTCTCTTCTCCGAGTCGCTTGAAGAGTGAGACTAAGTGTGCTAGAACGAGGGCTTTATATAAACAGGGCGAGAAATTCCGGAAGACAACAACTTGGAGCGCCTGATTGGCGAGCCCAACGCGGAACTGTAAGATCAGATATTGCATGTGTGAAATAAAACTAGAATTAGCCAAGGAGTTAATCATGGTTAGAATATTTATGAGTAAATCTAGCTAGTTTAGACTAAGTCTAGCTAGTTTAGCTATAATGTCTATACTTGGCAGAATAACTAAAGAAGTTCTAGAAGATTTGAGTGAGCACTTCTATTTTGTCTTGTACAAAAGTCTAGATTCCAAGAGAAAAGACTTTTTGACTTCATGTTTAGTTTTGATTGGTTTGACTAAAGTAAGAAATACTCCATTGGTTAGACTAAGTCTAATGTTGACTTAGTGGAAAGTGGAAATTTTTGAAGTTGGAAAGGCACAAATGGCAAGTCGCCACCTCAATCTAGTGATTAGTAAACATCTATAAGGTTTAGGAGGCCAATGGCATGTTGCCACATATTGATAACTAGTCAACCTTACTATGGTTTATATTTGTAAAAGTAAGTTAGATATGAATTAACATTTGTTACTATGGTAAATTCTCAAGTAGTATATATATAGAGTTGGGGAAGAGCCTCTCAAGCAAGTTTGGAGAGTTCATATGTAGGTACTTGTTTCATATATGAAAGAGTGACGAATTTTCAATACCTTGGAGTGTTGATGTGTGCGTGAGTTGGAATGAAAGCTTGAGAGATTGTGTGAGAGGGTGTTTTGGGCTATGAGGATGAGGAGGAATCCTAGTCTTCTAGAACCATGATGAGCTAACGAAAAGCGATTTGAGGTCAACCTGAGTGAGAATCAGCCCAGAGGTTCTAGGACTGACTTGCGGGAAGTCGATTCGATAAAAAGCCCCCATGAATCGAGTTCTTTTCTCTCCTCCCTTCGTTGGAAGCGGCAGTGGATCCGTGTTCGGCCGATTTTTTTTATGGATGGTACATTCGCTTGGGGACATGGGCAATTCAAACCCTAGGCGTGCGGACGAAACGGACGAAGCAGCTGACGACACCGATCGCCCACCCACATGTCCTGCTTGGCTGAATCCGGCTCGTCTGCCCGATTTGACCTCTGCGCGAAATGTGCTTCCGCCGGGCCTCCTTTACACGAACGGCTGCAGAGCACTCCGGAATGCTCGAACGGTTCTGGAACTCCAAGTTTGACGCGCAACGAACGAAGGAGGCTCGGACCGACTCTCCTGGTCCCCCGTTCCTCCGCCTGATGTAGGGATAGAATATTCCTACATCCTAGGTACAGATTGTGAAACATGTCGGGATGATAATGTCGGAGACGTACCAGATGAAATAGAAGTTTGTCGAACGTGTAGAACTGCACGCATCACCCGTTCGGCCAGGGAATAAGATAGACAAAACAAGGATACCTAGGGAACTCCCCTCCTCCGAGTGGGAAGAAAGCGAGCTCGGGTTGTAAGTGGACGACGGGATCGGAGTCGGAGCGTAAGGCTCCGGCGACGACCCTCGGGCAGAAGCGGCATACGAGTGTGGGTCCATGGGGGCTCTCGCTCTCTCGGCCGCGGATGCAGAAGAAACAAACAAAGTGGATCCCGTTTGCTCTCGCTTGATGCTTCGGACCCGCCCTCACCCACCCGTTGAAAATCGGAAGAAACTTCACAAACCCAGGATGTTCTACATTGATCAAGGTGCGAACAGATCTGGGAAACTCTCAGGGGGGCCGCGTCGACTGCACGCGAAACCTGAAGGGGACTGGTGGATGCGGCATATGCCCTTGTTGGAGAGATCCTGGGGTCGAGCTGCCCTTGGTAGAGGCTGAAGTATGCTGTAACTAATAAACATAACATTTCATGAAACACTTCAAATTATTGTTAAAATCATTATACTAATTGATTTAATAATATTTCCATACAGATTAATTTAAACTTGCTACAATTTTTTCTAGTTTTTTAAGAATATATCATGAATACTAATATCTATAATACGTAACGTATTTTAATTAATGTTGATCTTGGTAAATTTCATTTAAAAAAGTATTTATTATAATCACATGTCATTAACATATTTAGATGGTTTATAAACTTATTTATGTATATATTGAGTAATAAAGTATGTTAAAAAATTAGTAGATATTCAATTTGCCATGAAAGCAAATTTAATCTTAATTCAATTAATTTAAAATTAACATGTAGTCAAATTTTTTACTTCATGACTTATTTAATATTTATAGAAAATTAAAACAGTGATATTAGTTCAAATATTCTAGAATTTTTTTATAAGCTCATCAAATATAGACATGAGCTCATCTTAGTCATGACCGTTTAGATTAAATCATGATTAGAAGAATAATGGTTAATTTTTTGAAATAAATATATAACAAATACGTTCATACAGCTACGGATCTTGTATTAATCTACACTTTGACTTACACACAATTTTTTTATGTTGACATGTTTCAGGTTGTATAAATGTTTATGACGAAACTTGAATATTAATCATGTTGTCATTATATATATATATATATGCATTGTATCATAAAAATACAATGTACTGCTTAAATCAACTTGAATATTGAAAGTAAATTACAAAAGTAAAAAGTACATTGAAGAACGAACATGCCTAATAAACTAGAAGTCCAACCAAAAAAATATTCACTTTATTTAGACTACGAATAAATAAAGTCATCAGTCATTTTACTCATCAAAGTCATATTGTGCCACTCTTATTATTACATAATAGTGTTATAACTAGCTAGAATTATTCAAAAACTGAGTTAACTACTGACAAATTAAAAGAATTAAATTTCTTTTTCACATAGACGTTATAAAAAATTCTCCATAGGATTAGAAGAGAGCAACATTCAGTGAGTTAATTTTCAAGGAAGACGGTGGTATCGATTCGCATCTAATTTATTAGGAAAGATAGAAAGGAAAGCAGCAATAATGCACTAGCTTTCTCCATTCTGTTCGAAGCCGAAAAAGTCCATTTGATTACGCATCGGAACATGCACAAATTGGAATATGGGTGGGTCCACCACAACCTAAGAATGGACCCGACAAGTCAAGACGAAGTACTTCTAGTGAGCCCTTTTAATGGACATATAGACCTCAGCCACCAGCCCAGTCCTCAGAAATGCGAACCAAGGTGCGCCTCCAGGGACGAGCCACGGGCTCCCACCGTTCCACTGACACTGGAGAGACGTCGCTAATCTAGCGACGACTGTAGGTCGCACTTCGGCCGTCACGGGTCACAACGAAGTGTTGTCGATAAGCTCTCTACGACTCTCTCCCGACTGGCGACGACGGCTGACGAAGTTCGGAACGCGGTCGGTCCGTGAAAGGAGGACGCCAGAGGGACGCCACCGGGAACGAACGCGGGAACCGAGTTGGGACCAAGGACGCTCCGGGAGCGCCATGGAGCGGGAGCGCAAAAGGCCGTGGGCTAGAAGCAGAGCAGCGTCGTCCTCACCGGCCAATGGGACGCGCCGCCCTCCCTCTCGTCTTTCGCGTGAATGGTCGAATTCTCTCTCGAGCGGAAGTTTCCTCTCGCTCTCTTTTCGGCCCGCGGTCGGCGACGAGGAATGCTCGCGCTGCCAAACGAGCGTCGAGACCGAGAATCGTCTTCTGGTGGAGTTTGTGCTCGTACCGAACGCGGAGGAGGTCGCAGAGGTTAGAGCTCGGGATGGGGGAGGCGATGGAGGAGGAGGAAGGGATGGATAGTATGGCGTGGAGGAGGAGGCGGAAGATGAGGAGGACGAGTCGCTTTGGAGAGGTTTTGGCATTTATGGAGGCCCGGGCGCATTCGTGCGGCTGAGGTTTGTGCGTGGGCCAGACAGGCCCATTGCAGTACAGGGAGGCCAGTGGAGAGGACGTCAGTGCTGCGATCGCAAGAAGCATGCCGGGCCTGGCTGGAGCCGGTGGGTCTCTTTTGGTGGCCCTCCTCGTCGAGCACTGAGCCAGTGTGCGCGGGCCTCACTTATTGTCGCAAAAGCTTCATGGTTTATTTTCTGAGCTCGGCCCTCCGTCTCACGTGTTGTTAGGCCTGGGAGGACGAGGAGCAGCGAGGGGGAGGCGAGCGAGCTGATTTCCTGCTGCTGCCTCTGACTGGCATACAACACGACGACCGGTTGACGATCCCATCGCTGCACTCTGCGTTGTCGCCTTCCCCGGAGAATTTTCGCTGCCTCACTACTCTCGGGGAGAGCCTTGGGAAGCTTGGTCGTCACTGACGTCACGCAGGACATTCGAGCTCGGACTCGACCTGCTGCTCTTTCCAGGCTTCGTGTTTCTGATTTCGAGTATCATGCTCGAAGGCGCTGGACGTTTTTGATTGCGACGCTGTGGGGCGCATTGTGCAGGCCACGAGGCGAGGCCGCATTGCTGCTGTCTTCGAAGGGTCTTGTTCATTTTACCCCTGCTAGTGGTGGGGAGAGAGGGAGCAGGTGGAATGTCTCATTACGAAAGCATGGAGCCGACGACGGTGGAATGATGCAGCTAGCAAAATGAAGACCGCATTGATATTTCGACTGCAGTGTTGACTGATCGTGTGGTCTTAGGTCAGATCTCAGTAGCGGAAGAGACTGAAGATCGTTATTGCTGGTGGCGCATGTTGCCTTCATTTCCGAGGCTTGTCAGGCTTTGAAATCAGTGTGCCACGATGATCGTCCAAGCGAGAGGACGAAAGGGCGGGATCAATGGTTCTGCCGAGGAGAAGAAGGGTCTTGTAGAAGACTCTGACGCCGAAGGAGAAGATTTCGAACTTGAGGAGGGAGTCAAAGTGGAGAAGGATACCGTTTTTAGCATACAGAGCAAGAAGAACACCAGCTATGCTTGGGCAAGTGTTGGATGGGGTTACTTCATGAACAATCTGGCGAAGATCATTCTTGTCTTCTTCACCATTCTGAGCGTTGTGATCCTTCTCCTTGTGAGGAATCGAGGGGAAGAAGCTGCTCTCATTTGCATCGAAGAGGTCTCGAAGGAGCTGGAAGTGGTTCCATACCCGAAAGTCGACTTCAAGCTTGTGAAACAAGCCAAGGATTACACAAGGTTTTCTGCGGTGAATGCTGAGCAGTGGATCATTGTTTCTGTATCTGGCCCTCCAACTCCTGAAGTTGAAGCTTTTACGAAATTGAAAGGCTGGCAGGTTCTCGCCATTGCAATTTCAGACGCACCAGCTGAGTGGAGACTAGCAAATGCCATATTTCTGTCCCTGGATCAACAGGCACAACTTGGGTATCGGATCAACAGATTCTTGCCGTACAACTCGTACATCAGAAAGAATATTGGGTATCTGTTTGCAATCCAACATGGGGCTAAAAAAATCTATGATGCCGATGAAAAAGCATCTTTGCTACATGATGATCTTTCGAAGGTGTTCGATTTGCAGTTGTCAGGAGCAGGTAGTAGAAGAGAAGCCGTGTTACAGTATCGGTATTTCGACAACAGGAAGATTGTGAATCCTTTCATCCATTTCGGGCAGAGGTCTGTGTGGCCCCGTGGTCTTCCATTAGAATCCGTCAGCGAAATTTCTCCTGAAATATGGTACGCCGAAGTCAATGGTGGTAGACAGTACATTCAGCAGAGTCTTGCCAATGGATTACCTGATGTTGACTCCATTTTCTACTACACCAGAAAATCTCAAGCTGTTGCCTTTGATATTCAGTTTGATTCTTTCGCGCCTCCCGTCACACTACCTCAAGGCTATATGGCTCCAGTAAACGCTCTGAACACATTGTTTCATCCCTCTGCCTTCTGGGCGCTCCTTCTTCCCGTCTCCGTAGGGTCCAAGACAGCTGATATTGTTAGAGGCTACTGGGGGCAACGACTTCTTTGGGAAGTTGGGGGAATGCTAGGAGTTTACCCACCTACAATTCGGCGGAAGGATACCTTAGAGCCGATTATTTTTGAACAGGAAAAGGATTTGCATGCGAAGGTTGATAAGCTTGTTTCATTTCTCCTGCGCTGGAGATCCAACAAATCCACCCTGTTTGAGAAGATTTTGCACTTGAGTCATTCTATGACTGAAGAGGGAATGTGGACAATTCAAGACCTCCACTTGACCACAGCATGGGTGCAGGATCTGGTCTCAGTGGGCTACAATGAACCACGAGTGTTATCGCACGAGCTTGAAAGAAATCGGAGTTCATGGTCAAACTTGGGCCACCAGCAGTTTCTGCCTCATACATTTTCAGCTCCTTATTTGGGTGTGGAAGATTTGTCTGGGATGGCGAGTTCAATGGCTGATCTTACTAGGTGGAGACATTTTTGGGGGAATATTGTCTTGATCCTGGAGTGCGTTGGTCCCAGCGATCACACTGTCTTCGGGTGGCGGATGTTCTATGCCCGTCTCTTCAAGCATGTTGTGATCTTGGGCCCTGAAGAAAATCTGGATCTCGGAGTTGAAAAAGTAACATGGCAGTCATACAAGTACGTAAACTCATCACCCTCGCATACTTTTTCAAGTTTTGACGCATGCAAGAAGTGCATCCCTCAAATAACATCATCTTTCTTTTGAAGACAAGCTTCATTACATGTATGTAAGCAGCTTATGCGTCTCCAACACTTACTGATAAGGAAAACTTCCAGTAGATCATGTATTTGGGCATTCATTTCGTTGAGGAATCTTCCTCTAATACATGATAAGCACTTGCTTGTATAAAGTCCATTAAGTCCGAGAGCAGTGGTTTTTTCTCAAGGTTTCGACCAATGGGAATTGTGAGGTTCTGCCGCTTCTAGGAAAGCAATCCCGATTCTAACCGGAAATCCATTGGAGCTTAAGTCAACCGTTAAGTTCACAGGAAGTCGCAACTTGTCTGTTGTTCGGGCCTCTTGTATATACAAGCTAAGCTGTTTTGAGGATTCGGTATGTATGTTGAATACCTCCTCTTCTTTGTAAAGATCGCAGACCCTTGTGCCGCCCTTCCTGCACTTTCGTTTTTAAAATGGAGGCGTGAGACGTTTAGAGAGTCATACCGTGCAGTCCATACATACAAATAGCTCAATAGAACACCGAACCCTCAACCACTCTTAGCATAAACTTTTAATCCTCGCTGAAGCTGAGGCCGGTGTCAGAGAATATTTGATCATTTGTGTGACAACGTATGTAGGTGGGCTTAAATACATTTTGATCAGATGTCAAAAGCAGTTGAGGGTTTAGTGTATTATTCTGCTAGTGTACTACAAGGTGAGCAGGAGGGAACTGTGAGTTTTACAGTAAGACGTAGACTTTAACCTTAAAGGTATCGACGGTACAGGAGGCGCCATTGTTTCTTTCAACAATTAAAACGTCACATCTTGTCATGGAGAGGAGGATGCACTAGATGTGTGTTTATTCTCTTAATTAATTGCGAAGGAACGATGAGATCGACCTTATCTCCAGGAATAATGTTAGATCAATCAACAAATAACGAATGCTCTTGCCAAGACGTAAGATGATTTAGTGCAAAACCTCGGACCACTTATTTTTCAGTTCTAAGCATGTGTTTTCGACTGCAGTTCATTTGCAGGTATATTTGACCGGTATCCAAACGCAGACGGTTTCCTGATGATCAAAGACGATGTCGTACTGAACTACTGGAATCTGCTGAATGCGGACAAGAAGAAGCTGTGGAATGTGCACAAGGTGAGAACTCCTGGTCATCAGGTCGTGACTTGTTTACTCGATTTGAGGGAGTTAATCAGCATTCGAATGTTTGATTTTTGTGATGAATTTGGCTCATATTTTCGAGTGAAGTAAAATAACATTTAATTGACCTCAAAAGTGGACGCTGTCGGTCAAGACCTTTGATCCTCTATCAACAAATTCATCTCTGCCGCCTGTTTTCTAGACTGGGACAAGAGTGGAAGTGAGCTATAGGTTTACAGTGAACCTCTTGGGATAAAAAGACGGGGACCTGATTGAATTTGAAATAAAAGCTTTCTTTCAGTCAATGGGGGTGTTGAGAGACGATCGACGAAAGCTTTGCTGTATGTGTAGAATTTTTCAGAGGCTCGACGTCTTACACATGGAGCTGGTTCTAACCTGTTTCTTGACGTTTGGCAGGTACCCGTGGCTTGGCAGAGTATCGGATTTAACGACACGGGAAAAGAGTGGTTCCATTCCGATGTCACCAAACAGAACGTACAAAAGGCCATAAAGAGTATGCCTCCGAAGTTCCGTCAATCCTATCGGAAGGTCAAAGATGATGGTCATTTTGTGATGTCCCCTTCTGATCTGTACTACGTACCCCAGTCTTATGTCAACGACTTCATCACGCTGATCACTCCTGCCAACAATGCCCAGCTGCGCCCAGAGGTTGCAATTCCACTGATTTTTCAGGCTATGGAGAAACCCGACAATTATGATCATGCGGCCTTGAGCTCCATGTTGTATTTCGACGAAAGGAAAAAGTTTGATCCAGCTGCCCTCTACCGAACTGACTTGGACGCAGTGCATCCATGGAGGCCAAACAATGAAGCTGAACTGGCTAGATTATTTAAGAGTGTAGGCAAGGTTGACGCACATTTATTGGATGCCTTCGATTAGATTGAGTCCTTGTATCATTCTTCAAGTAGTTTTTGTTCAATTCATCGAAAGCTCTTGATTGTAGTATACGGTCACCGTATCAGCACCTGAGAATATTAGTTATTGAAACTCTGTCAATAATCATCAGGTCATGCATATAGACTTCAATCGTAGCCTCCTGACACGGGATTGAAGGTACTCTGTGCTACCAATGTAGTCCGGATTCCAAACCCACAGTACCTTGTATACACATTTCAGGGATGCACAGTCATACCGAGATCTTGAAGCGTTTTTCTATTTCAGGGTGGAGGATGAAAAGGGGCGATGTCACATGGACAAGTCAATCTTTACGCTGTAGGGACTGACGGATAGATAGCTAACACGATTCATTATGATTTAACGAAAAAGGTTGTCAAACTTTTACTACTGCTATCATTAAAATTTTTGTGTCAGGTTGTTATACCTGAAGGCTTGCTCATACCTGTTACTCTCGATGATCACAGAGTTAATTTTTTGCGGTAACGAAATCCATAGTCCGGACAACGCAGTAGTACTGTACTTCGTTGCACTTGATAAAGATTACAATCACGGATATTGCACAGGCCATGCACTGTGTGAACAGTGTAGAGCAGTAAGAAGAGCCCAGGTTTGAAGGCTCATTTTCACTGACTTTTTCCAACGAAACCTTTGCAAATAATATCTGGATAACACGGGAAGTAAGTGCGTTGTGCAGAAAGCAAACAAAGACTGGACGGGAGGAAAGAGACGAACGTGCTAGAGTTGCCCGCACTTGAAAAACGAAGATTGCCACGGATTGCTCCACGAAACGTGACGGAGTATCTGTGGTAGATTCAGATACTGTCCGAATGCAGCAGAGAAGAGGAAGCTAACCTTGAGATTGGCTTCACATTAATACTCAATGGCGATACAGCCAAAATAAGGATTTGCCCGCATGATCACCCATTTGTTTAGGAGATGGCTCGTGTTTGTAGGTACGAAAGCATAACGTGGTCCAAATCCGCAATCATGCAAACTGTGCAGAATTTAACATGGATCGTTTACAGGGAGATAAGTACTATAGCTCGACAGGTTCTTATCTCAACGAAACTGAGATCGAGTGAGCTGCACAGAGAGGAGTGTGACTAAATTATTGACTGAATTGGCCAGTTGAAACATGTCTCAATGTATCGCTTCAACGCTGATGTACAATCACATGCACGAGAAAATAATCCAGGTCACAAAAGCACTTCAATTTGCTCTGTAAACGATGAAGAAGCTCAAACCATCATCATGATGGCTCACTCAGACCTCAAGGTATATCTCAAAGAGGGGTTTCAACGTTTTGAACAGCTCCGATCACGCCGTATTTAACAGCCGCCACATATAAAGGAAGAGTATTTTAGCAACTTCAGGAAAACTGGAAACTGAATCACGTACTCGAAGGAGAATGTGCTCCATTTTAAATGCCAGGCTAGATAGGTCAATATGAGGGCTAGTGCTGCAAATGTACCTACGTGGTCTCCTGGTACATTTGCAGTGCAGCTTGACTGTCCAAGGTAGTGGCAGTGACCCTAATCGACCGACTCGCTGCTGGAGAAGGTGCAAACGGAACAGCAGAAAGTGAAGGATGAAGATGGGAATAAAGCCCCACCGTGCAAGGGCGAATGAATGAGAATTTGCAAGGACCCAGAAGGGATGGTAAGTGGGATGAGAAGTGACAGTCATAGCCTGAAGATCGCCATTCACGTTTCTTGTGCCAAACCAACTCTCTTCTGCATTTTCGGTCTACCAACACACAAATATGTCTCAAAACTCCAACTCAAAGAGTTGAATTTTACACTTTCAATCCGTGGCCCATCTCTTCCATCTGCCCCTTCATTTCTCCTTCTTTTAATTTGTGTACCACGACTGAACGTTTCCGTGAAAAGTTCCTCCCCTGATCATGCCTCATTGGACTCGATACGGGACTGACAGACTAACCGGCTACAGTAGTCGTCACAAATTCTATCCATGGGTCTAATCTATTAAATGAGATCGTGGACAACATCGATACGCAAAATCACGGACACTGCCGCACAGAAGTCTGTGCTTGCTCAGCCTGTTCATGATTCACGAATTGATTGGTCACGCAATCGGCACAATTAACCATCCTTGTATTCATATTCTTGCAGGCATGCAGTCAGGGAAGTCTTCATCCTTCCGGCGAAACCTTTGATCCCAAGGCAAACAAAGTCACAAGGTACGTTGTTTCAGTTGGATTCTCTCTTGCACTTCAATAATATCTTCGTCTTACGATCCAATGAAATCTGCTAACGGATCGTGATCTTCCTCAAGGTGGCATGTGATAAAATGGTGACATATCATGTGCTTTGGTTCATGTTTATGAAAACTAAAACGAAATTGCAGAAAGTTCCTTCAATAACTACGCAGCTTGGGTCTTCATCTTTGTTCATTGCCCGTCCAGGTCTCCCTGGAAATGCACACGAACGAACCACGCAAACCACCAATTTCTGTATGGAAACTAAGTGAACATGCAGATAAGGATCGGTTTGTCCCCTCATAACTCCGAGTTGAAATGTGAAATGTTTTCCGCTAGCTCATTCGAACTATGTCTGACGAGCCTATTGCCACACCCTGTCTTAGCAAATGGCACACCGTACAGGTGCTCACACTAGTTAGATGTAAAATATAATTGGAGTCTGCATAATATAATCAAGTCACAACATCTGAGTACGTTCAGGTATAGTGGAGCATAACAACACAGCAGAAGCAATAATTATAACCGTATCAATACGAGAAGTAACACGCAGATTGTCCCATCATACACAGAAAGGGCCAATGAAAGACAGACTTCTCCCTGCCAGGTTTGGTCATCTGATTTCTTATGCCGATGAACAGCAGCTCTGACTTCTGATTTGGTGGAGTTCCAGAGTCCAGTAGTTAACAGTGCAGCATGAATTATTTGCCAGGATAGGATTCTCTAGTTTATATTCCTTCTAAGTAGACTCAGTCTCGCTTCTTTTCAGTTCGGAAATCTCTTCCAGGGCTGACATCCATCACATAATCACTCTCATACAAGAGGCCGAAGCTCGCACCAATTGTCTCCTACACCGTGAAGCAAGCACGCATGCATCAAAGGATGGCCGGTCCAGTAGAAGAAGCAAAAGTGGGAGGGGCCATTCGACATGAAGCCGTGCCATCGAGGCAAGCGCCCAACATGTGCTAAACTAGAATCTCCTCAATCAAACAAACAAACCAGTGGACTGCTCATGCCCGGTCCCCTAATTGCTGGTCCGAAAATCTTCGCAGTTCGTAACACACACACGTACTGGACGTACCTCCGAGGAGTCCGAGCTACAACTTGACATGCACGGAACTTGGAAGACGAATCTTAGCTTCACGTTTGCCATTCCCCCAGCCCTCCCTCCATGTAGTGGAGCATCATCAAGGTTGGGATGCCATTACGTGCGCCCACCCCTTCTTCTCTCCGTGCGCAGTAATTCACTCGGACTCTCAATCTTGACTCCATTGGTGGCTCCATAATTCGGTCAAACATGGATGAACATACAGCGCAAAAAGCTGGCCGTGACTTGATTGTATCCAAAGAGATTACTAAAATACAGACGAGACGTAATTTTCAAGACGAATATATACTTAAGTTCATCAAAGCGTGGTGATGTTTCAGCTTTGATTAAAACTCTGCTAAAAAGATGGTAAGAGTTAGTGATATCTACTATCGGTTGGAACACGCGGGGTCTCTGCTCGACTAGATTTCTCATCCAAAAGCTATGTTGGAGCTCAAAGAATTTTAACACCGGACAGGAGAATATTATTTGCAATGAGAGAGAGGATAGGGCCAAATGGACAGCAACAGAGAATCAAAATCACTCGCAATTTGGGTTGGTTCTATAATCGATCGCATGAAGCCAAGATTTCCATGTTGGCTATGCTGGTGGTACCACGTTACGTATGGCAAGAGTGCTTATAAAAAATTGTATAGAAGCTAGGAAGATGCTACTGCAGATGGTATTGAAGATGAGACAATGGAGAAGGATGGAGCACGTGAAGTGTACAAAGGAAAATGGGATGGGAAGAGACCATGGATGCTCGAGACAAGGGATCGCCAGGCGGTCAAGTCCGCCGGAAGGGCGAACAACTTCGTCTGATCTTCTTCTTCTTCTGGGCTACCGGATGGGACCGAAACGATGACGGGCCTTAACGGTCGTCAGGGCCCGGTGCAGACGACGACGGCCGGTGTACGAGGGAGACGCAAGGAGACGGCCGGAAGTGTAAGTAGCAGCGCGAGGTATTGTGCCGGACGTAAGATAAATCCGGCAGGAAGCGCAGGCGCGGGAGGGGAGGGGAGGGGAGGGGCCCCGGCGAATCGAATCGGAGGTCTCAGTCTCGCGCCCGTCCTTCGGTCCGACTTCCGCAGGGTCCGGGTCCTGACGCTGGAACCGTCGGATGGCCAGGCATCGCTCCCTCCGGACAGCAGGATAAGGCCAAGCGGGCTACGGCGGCCTCGGGAAGGGCGAAGAACCGTCGCAAGACCGTCCCGTGTTCCGAACCTGCGCCGAGGCCAGGAAGGCGAGGCCCGTCCTCAGGTGCAGGTGGGAGGAGAAGAAGCTTCAAAGCCTCGAGCCTCGCGCCTCGAGCGCACGGACGCCCCGAGCGAGACCATACAAGAGCAGCAGGGGCTGCAAGGCAGGCAGGCAGGCACAGGCACAGGCGCAGGGGGACAGGCGGGGCAAGGAAGTCGATCGAGGACGACGAGACGAGACGAGACGAGGGCCGAGGGGTGCAGGTCTCGGGGTTTTGGCGGAAGACATACAAGAGAAGAGAAGAGAGGGGACGAGGGGACGAGGGGAGGAGAGGCGAGGGGAGGGCTGTGCAGGGAACGGGGTGGGGGCGGGGGTGAGAGGGAGGGAAGCGAGGGACTGATCTGTGCAGGCGTGAAAGGGCGGGCGGGGGAGCGAGAGTTGGGCTGGAGAGGGCAGCCGTTGGGGCTGTAGAAGTTGCGTTTGCGTAGTGGTTGTGGTCGGTCGTCGCGGTTCAGATTTTCCGAAATCAGCATGACGTCGCCCTGCTGCTTTCAAATATGACAGAACCCGTATGTCCATGCTCCTTGCTTTCTTCCTCTTCTCATCTCTGTATTCTGTTCTGTTCTGGTTCTGTTCTGGTTCTGTTCTGAGTTTGATTCTGGATGTGTGAGTGGGCCGATCGTGTTTGGATGGTTGGTGTCTTTGTGGTATGAGGATTCGGTTGTGGGAATGCCTTGGTGAAGGGTGGTGATTGCGCGGGCATGTGATGGAGATTTGTTTCAGCTTGTTGGTTTGATTGCAGACGTTTGCAGACGTGTGCTCTCGAGGGGTGCATGTCTTGGGCCGTGGGAGCTGATTTCAGAGGGTTTGTGTGTGGATTTATGTTTAGTAGATTCTTCTATGTGGTGCTCGTGATGAATCCTATGCGCTTGTGTTTTCCGCCCTTCAGTCTTTGATATTCCTGGCTTGCCAGGTATTTCTCTTTGGATCCTTTACAGAAGATGAGGCGCAACAACTTCAGGCCTCTGTACCCGAATCCCCCAGTCCCAAGGGAAGTCATCGTTCTCTCAAGCCTGCTCTGAAAGAAAATGGGTTCCATTCTGCACACAACCATCCTTCCGAGCTGAAGATTGCACCAAAGGCTGCCCCGTCGAAAGTCGCTGCGGCTGCTCAGAATGGGCTCAGTCCAGCTCCGAAAAGTGTGTCGAAACCTAACAGTTCGATTGTGGGCAATGGGAAGCAGCCAGAGTCTGCCAATGCCCCGTCGAGGATCGCGGGCCGCGGTGTCAAGAAACAAGTTCTTTCGCCCGCTGTAGGGTTGGGTCCTCAGAAAGGTGGCAAACAGGTTGATGCGAAATCGTCTGCTGCGAATAATCACATCGCAGAGAATCCACTGAAGAGAATTGTGAACAATGGTGCTGCAGACCTTGGATATCATGCAGGTAGGACGCCGTCCAGTAGCCAAGATTTCTCCGTGGCAAACGGGCAAGGGCCACCACGTGCAGTTGTTACGCCTCTCAATCAAAATGGGACGGTATCAGGGAAATTGGGAACCAAGGAAGAGGCTGTCATCACTTCTTCTGTGTCGTCGCAATTGGCGATAGCACCGAAGAGCATTTTGGGATCCGATGAGAACTCAGCGAAATCTTCTCAAGGAAAGGAGGGTTCGGACCTGGTCCGTATAAGGACTACTTCGGATGGCGAGTCAGATGGAGTGGCCTCTGAGTTCATGCCGAAGTCATGGGCAGCTCTCGTTTCTGTACCTACAGATTCTGCAGACATGGATGGAGCATCTGGTTCTCTCAGAAGAAAACCCAAGGATGCCCAGAAACGTCAACCCGTTTCTCCACAGAGCCAGGTTCCAGCAGTCACAGTTTTGAGCGGGGACATCTGGTTGAAAAGTTTACGAAAGGCGGACACCGCTGGTCGGAGATTACTACCAAGAGGGTTAGTGAACACCGGGAATTCGTGTTTTTTGAATTCCACTATGCAAGCTATGCTTTCATGCCCAGCCTTTACGCACCTTCTGCAAGTGCTGAAAGACCGCACAGTTCCTCAGGTATATATTTAGAAGACCTCTGAATTATCCTTCTCACTGAACTCGGCCCACTTACCAGCCACTCGCAGTTGTCATGAGCCCTGATGATTGTCGGTCCCTTGCTGAGTCGTGGATTTCTTATGCGTTTAAATTCGAATGCATCTTAGAGCAAGATTCTGGAAGGTCTCTGAAGTGTTTTGAAGATCAGGTGAAAACGTTTTTCGCCACTTTTTATTAGTCTAACCAAATTGTCTCGTTTGTGGATTTCAGCATGGGTATCCTACGCTTCAGGCTTTCCTTAACTTCTTTGGAGAGTTTGAACCCTTACCGGATACAAATGCATTGAAAGTCAGGCGGGAGGTTGATGGAAAGGTTCCCGCAGTGGAAGTTGGGAGACCGTTCGTTCCAGCTATGTTCGATGGAATTCTTCAGAGTTTTACACCAGACCAGCCCCTTCGAGCTAAGGGCAGAAACAGGTGACCTTCCCATTACCTCTATGTGCACAGCCATTGTGAAAATGTTTTTTTCCTTCCTTTGATCTAAGAGTTTTTTATTTTCTCTTTGCTAGCAATTCGTGATGGATGTATTCCGTACAGAATGAGGTGCATGGCAAAGTTTACCCAACATGGTCATGGTTAGCCAGTATTCTGAACTGTGATTGTTGCGAGAGTGAAGACCATCAACAACGGCAACCAATCATGGAGATTCATGAACTTCCATAGCTCCTGCTTTTACTTCGCACCTGGAGTTACCTCCAGCGCTGGGGTGGTTGTACCGAAAGACGGTCGAGGTCCAGTTGGTGATCCTGAACATAACGGCGCTTGAAGTCTATGTCACGGATGTTGCTGGCCTGAACACTCCTATCGCGGGGTTGAAAAATTTATAATCTTAACACCGTCTTATGTACGTTGTTGTGGAATTCCCAGGCAAGAAGACGCACAGGAGTTTCTGAGTTTTGTGATGGATCGCATGCACGAAGAAATTTTGCGACTACAAGGCAATGATTCTCCAGTTTCGCAGTCATCACCATCAGGTCCATCATTTGAGGATGGAGACTGGGAAATGGTAGGGCCAAAAAACCGAACATCTGTGACTCGCACTCATCAATTTAGTGAATCCGCCGTCACTGATATTTTCGGAGGTCAACTTCGAAGCGTTGTGAAAACCAAAGGTTTGTTCATGCTTCAAACCATCGCAATATTTTGCCTTTGTTAAACCTAGTTGTATGTTGCCACGCAGCTATTATTGGTTCAGAGTTACACACGGATCAACGCAGAATGGAAATGATGGTCATTAACATAGTGGAATGTGCGTTTTGTAATATCTGGAGTTTCAGGAAATAAGGCGTCTTCAATGGAAAGAGTGGCCATTAACAGAGTGGAATGTGCGTTTTGTAATATATGGAGTTTCAGGAAATAAGGCGTCTGCAACTGTTCAGCCATTTATGGTTTTGCACCTAGACATTGTACCAGAGTTTGTGCACTCTGTTGAAGATGCTCTGCGGATGTTTGCCGCTCCCGAGTCTCTTGAAGGATATAAGCCAGCAACTGCTAAGGTTGTCTTTAAACACTTTGATCAACATTGTCTAATGATTTTTTGTTGAGGCTGCAAGTACTGGATGACAACGTGAATTAATGTCAAGTTCGTAGGGACGCAACAAATATAATACTTATGATGAGGATGGAAACTACCGGGAAAATATTGTTACAACTTTAGAGCTTATTCCGGAGATTGGAGGTGAGAGCCGTTTGAGGTAAAAGCCTCTCATACGGTTCGGAGGGCAGCTGTGTTGAAAGACCCGACTGACCCGTACTTTGTATGGTGGCGCGATGTGATACGTTGATCTGCCGGAATTTAGTCTTGTGAATTGTATTAAAGGAGAGGAATCACAAGACTTTCGACACTAAAGTTGCATCAGTTTATGCTCATGGCTGACGAGAAACAGTCTGCAATTGTCACAATCATTGACCGTCTTTGTAGCCGTCCAAAGTCATGGGGTGAATAATGCTGATCGTTTCCTTGTGTTTTTAAGAAAGTCATGTCAACAGTATCTTGACCAGCCTTGTCTCATGTAAGCGGTGTCCATAGACATCTTCTGTACACGACTCGCCTATTTGATTTGTCCAGATATTTGGATTTTGCGTTGCCACGTCGATGCCTGTCTTACAATAGAAATGCTCAACTCAAATCTCAATTCACTCCCTGGAGGGCCAGAGTCGATCAAACAGACTTCTAGTGTGTCAGTCGCGGAGATGGCTGTTTACCAAAATACACTTCTGAGATCTACTTAGGAAGGTGCATGGTTTTCTATGCCGGTTTTTCTTCTAGGTCGAATAGTTGTTGGTGGTGTATTTATGTGAAACAGGATGCGTGAAATTGATACCCCTGTGTGTGAGCAGGTTGGTGAGGTAGTGGCAGCCAGCAAGTCTGTTAAAATTCAGACACTTCCAAGGGTTTTGATTCTTCATCTGATGCGATTCAGCTATGGCAGCTCTGGTTCTAGCAAACTTCACAAACCTGTGCAATTCCCGCTCGAAGTTACGTTGGGTCGCGAACTACTCGCTTCTTCTACAGGCTCAGGGAACGAGGTACACCACAGGAACTTTTTGAAGAAGTTACTCACAATATTAGGCCTCACTTGCAGCCGCGCCTTGGTTATTAGAATTGCTGACATAGGCTATTTATTATGGGGCTGTGAAGTGATTCATTGAACTGCGGCTGAGTACTTTGTAAAGTACCGCTTCGTAAGCTTGATGTCAAAGTTTTTGGATGTGTTTGAAGGGGCACTAACTTTTTGTGATTTGGAACATTATGCAGTCTCGCAGGTACGAGCTCGTTGCAACAGTTTCACATCATGGAAAAGATCCGTCTGTAGGGCACTACACTACTGATTCGAAACAGGCTAGTGGACAATGGCTGCGCTTCGACGACGGAGCTGTCTCTGCAATCAGTGTCAATCGCGTCCAACAGGAGCAGGTTTACGTCCTTTTTTACAAACGTTTGGGCGTATAGTCGCATTGTTTTGATCTATTTGATTCGTATCTGGAGGATGGGAAAAGGTGATTGCTGCAAATAAGCAGCAAATACTCCCCTGTACAAATGAGAGGACACAGTAGGGTATTCTTTCGCTTTGTTTTGTGACGAGGAGGATGAGCAGGTAGGTAGATCATTGCCTAGGTGAGATGGAGGTGACACATACAAGTGACCATTGATTCAAGTTTATTATAGGCTTGCACGGAACTTGGCCTGGTGCAATTGTACCTAACTCAATAAAACAAGTAAATCGACAAAATATCCTCTTTTTATATCATTTTCATTTTGGTGATCTTATTTGTGGTTGTCGATATGACTGTTCTCATGACTGGCGTGCAACTCGCAGTTTCAGTGGGTCCTATGCAGATATAGGTTGGAAACATGCTGTATCTTGAGCTTGCAATGTTATGAATCTACCCCCTTGACATCACGGTATTCATGATGAAGTGGGATGGTTTGGACATCTGGAATTTCAAGAGAAATCAAAAGCGGAGGTAGTTCACTGTTACCAAGCCTCCAAACTGTTGCATCTAGTCATTGTTACAGTCGTAATAGGAAAGCCGGTCACAAATCTTCTTCGATCACATTACTCTGTCTCCGAAAACTCCGGAGCCAATCTTGAAAAGTTGATTCTACAAGTGCAAGCTTGGGTTAGCGAACTCTGCCGGGAATATCACCCTAAGTGTGGATCATCATTAACCTGCAACCCACCTTTACTTCGAGTTCAGTGGTAAATAGATGAAGCCTGTGGGACCCAAAGGCTCAAAAGGTCGAAAAACGAAGTACAAGCCAAATATCCTGTTACCAAACCAATAAAGATCAACCCCTAGCTAGTGCCAAAAGGGTAGAACGATGACTAATGACCTAGGTAATATAACAACCTATTTCAGAAGGCACTAGTTGCAATAAATAGTAGAAATTCTCCACATTTACTTCATGATCTAATCTAATCTTTTCACACCTAGGACATGTAAGACAGACATGCTATTCATTTTCAATATTCCCTTCATCCTATAATTTTCAATGTGTTCATTCCTATCAATATGAAATCATCTTCTAAACCTTTGAAACCTAATTCTATGATGAGCAAAAGATGCCTTAAAAACTTGGAGAAATTTAGAATTAAGTAACTTTTGTTCAGAATAAATACACATAAGATTAACATGAAGTTGATAAAATTGCTCCAAATAATGTTGAGAAATGGCTGGTGTAGACCTTGGTTGCAAGTTCCAATGATGTTACATTGCACTTTAGAGACTAAGTCACCACATATGTTAAGCATACATTGGCTGCAAGTTTCAATGATGTTACATTCCACTTTAGAGACTAAGTCACCACATATGTTTAGCATACATTGGAACGTGTGAAACAAAAAACTAGATCTCAACGTGTGAAGAGGAGGGTGAGCAGCATCAAGAGATCTCAACCTTCTTGTGTAAGTGATGGTCAAGTAGAGATTCAGCCTCTAGAGTAGTATAACCTGTTTAAAATAACATATAGTGTTTGATTTCTTAGTCAAATTCTTCTTGTAAGAATATTTTTTACCCTCTCTACATAACCTATCAACCCCCTCTATGATCAAGGCCACACATAACTTACTACATAGCTTTAAGAATAAGAATATACTAAGATCCAAGATCATAAGCTCTTCTACACCGATTGAACAATAAATATAGAGATTCGTAACCAGTTTCTAATCTCTTTTGCATGCAAAGTGTCCAACTATAATTATTAGATAAATCAATGCTTAGATAACTATAATTCTTCATTTAATCTAATTGTAGATATTTGTAAAAGAACAAAAACTTGGATTTAGTATCCATTATCATCACTTTAGATTACTCTATATTATTTCCATTTGATTTTGGGTACAAAACCTTGTCAAAGTGTGTAGATGTTTTGGTAAACTAATGTCATCACGTGCAAATAATATGATATAATCTACATGCATTAGAGTTTTGATGACATAGTCACTTGAGACCTTCGTTATCACATTGCTCAATCAATTTTTGATATTATCTATGAAAATTCCAAATAAATTAGAATAGAGTGTACAACTTTAAATCATTTCAATAATACTCAAAATTTTTTGACTTTGAAAATGGTTCATCTTGGGTAGAAGAGAATGATATAACTTGAACTCAGTTATAAGATATTGGTGTTATTCCAATTACTTGCAACCTTTCTCATAATATTAACCGAGTGAATATATTATCAAAAACTTTCTTGAAATCTATAAAACCTCAACACAAAACTTTACTATTGGTGTTAGATTTCTTCCATTAGCAAGGCCAATATGTTCATTAGTGTTGTATCCAAGGAAAAAACAAGTGCTTAGACTGTCTGGCGGCAAGTGAGCTTTACTCAAGTGTAAATCGTGAAGTTAGTAGATCTTGTACTTCGTTAAATAAATTGCAATTTGTGGGCTGCATTGCATTTTTTCCAATTTCAGAGTGACCCTAGTACTGAACTATCTATACCACGGCTATCCAAGTACTGCAGGTTACTTGTCAAATCCGCTCACGGAGATACTACATCACTGATGTAGTATCTCCATGTGTGTTGCACTGTCACTGATGTAACATCAGTGACAGTGCAACACGGAGAGTTTACCTCGTGTGTAGTTTACCTGGTTCATCAATGTGTTAGTTTGCGCCAGTAGTTGGAACAAAGATAATGTCCAGTCATCCTCCTTCACATTGCACTTTTGTCTATAATGATCTCATCGTACATGTAACTGGGAAACCTCGGAAGTCCCCGAGAGGACAGACTTCAACAACACATTCTGGAAACCATTGCATCATGCTCCGCTGATCTTCATGTCTCGATGATTGAACACTTACATCGTACTATACTCGTTATGACTTCTCGTGGAGGCAAGTCATCTGTCATGCGAAGCTTCCGAGGCCATCTCCACGTTGCTGCACACGCAAAATTGCACTCTCCACTGGATGCCGTTCAGGTGCTGGCCGGGTAGACAGGTGAAACCGTGAAAGAACGGGCTACGCATGATCTGAACTACCACCATCCGTTACCTGTACATACGATTTCTCTCGGACTTCGTAGACAATTCTTGAGCGTGGAAAAATGGAACCAACTGTCCCTAATTTCTTTGATGAATCCGTGCAGCTGTATCAGGAGAGCTGGGACATGCGCGTACGATTACTGTTTGTGATTCCCAAGTGGTGGTTTTCGTTTTAGGCCCGGGGAAGTTAAAGGCTTAACCCATGAGTATCTATCTTTATCTTACTGTTTATCTTAATAATATCACTATAGTCTACCTTTTACTTCTACCTAAAAAGGTAATTACCGGGTTACTCGATACGGATCTAACTTTATCTTTTATTTTTACCCATGAATATCTACCTTTATCTTACTGTTTATCTTAATAATATCACTATAGTCTACTTTTTACTTCTACCTAAAAAAATAATTATCGGGTTACTCGATACGGATTCTAAAAGATTCAAAAGTTATTTTTACATCAAAGTTATCGGGTAATTATCTTATTACCTCTACTTTATAGTGTAAAAGATGAGGGTTAATTGATAATTATCCTATTACCTCTACCCTAGAGGGTGAAAGGTAAAGATAATTTACCTGTTTAGTGCAATTTACGTGGATCGTTTCAGTAGAATGTACAGAATTGTATTTTGAATAATTTTGAAAATGTTCACATTTTTGTTTTTTGCGGTTAAGAATGTTACCGGATAATTACCGGATAATCCATATGGCTCTACTTTGACCTTACCTTTACCCTACCCTATAGCCAAACCTCTACCTTTACCATTTTACCGGGTAACATTCAGAGGTTACGTTACCTTGCCAAGGCCTACTTGGTAATACATGGATCAAGGTGTACATTCTTATTCACTTTGGGATAATAATGACGTTTTACGTTGTGGTCACAATAAGCTACGACTTTGAACAAAATATCAAATTGGAAATATACCACTACTATTTTTACCAACTATTTGATAGTATTGTATTTATTATAATCGAATTATCAAATAATCTATAAATAACAAGAAACTAGGATGCTTCGATCTGTAAGGTGATTGTGGAAATTTTCTATGTATAAAGGTGATTTTAACGCATACCAATATTTTGTCCATATAAGATATTTGACCTTAAACTTCATCGAAAACATCACAGTCCTCATGACATAGTCTGTACCTATCATTTGTATTCCAAACCAACAAAAAGTCAAGTGAAATCTTGATGAAAATATAATCGAGTACTCGCATGTGATCAATGAATAGGCGGAGAGATGGACTGAACCTAAGCAGAATCTCATCAATATAGTTGAAGTAATAGCTGTGAATCAAATAACACTGATGTATGGTCAGGCCAAGATCCAAGAGGCTAAATTCTTCCAAGAGGAAGAGAATAGACGAGCTCTCTCGGTATAAAAAATACTCGATGGCACTAAAAATGGATGTTAAGTCACTGAATCCATTCGTACATCAAAATTGATCGTAACTCATGATACGGGAGGGGCTAAAGTATCTCTTATATGAAAAGATTCACTTATGAACATGTCTGACAAATACTTCCATGTCAATTGATAAAATTAATCAATATTTATCAACCGTAGTAAAGCAGATCTTGAAACATTATAGTGAAGTCTCAAACTAACATCCAAAGTCGCCTTCGCACTACTCCGTTTCTGATACGCCTGAGCATTTAATTGTCTTAATAAAGTTGATTTATCGTTCTCTAAATGAGTTATCTGCCACACAATTATTTCTCCGTTTCTGCAAAAGAAAAGCTTTGCTTACTGTGAAACACCTTGCTGTTGCGAAAGATGAAAAAACGTCTCATCTGTTGCAAAAACTGGTTGCATGTTGAGAAATGTTGCGTTTGTTGCAAAAACTGAAAATCCTCGCATAAACATGATGACCCATTTATGTGTAAATCTCCTTTATTTTAGTTGCAAAACCTTCAACAACTTACTTCATCCTTGTAAAGCTATTTTTGGTCTAATACTAAGATCCGCAGTCTGAAAGACTAGTAACTGATGGTAACATAAAGTGCTAGAAGCACATCTGTAAAACAATTTGCCAAGCATATAATTGATCCTCTTTTGATCGTTTTTTCAATCCACAAAGTTAAAATCAAGTGTGCTCTTGACTTCCAACTTGCATGCTCGATATGAGAATATTTTCCAACCGGTAAACTAAAATTCAACTTTTCTTCTCACTTATGTACTTCTTCATTGCAAAATCAAACTTGTTTTCACCAGATTCATGTCCTAGGTTAT